GTGTTCCCCAGCTGAAAGACGAGGAGCTGCTGTGCCAGGCAGACGTTGCACTCGCTAAAGTCACCAGGTGCAAGGAAACCTACGAGCCACTCATCAGGAACCTGAAGCTCCTGCACGGCAGGAAGGTAAGCAGGGGGTGCTCCTCCTTGCTTGTGCTGTGCTCCACAGCTCTGCCCCATGGTGCCTGTGTCCCCATCCTGGGGGTGCCACGGGGATGATCGGAATTTGTTCTCTTGAATGGGGCCAGAGCTGGGCATTGCAAACCTGCCAGTGCTTCGGGTTGATCTGCCTCTGTGGGGAGAGGATGGCAGCTCCCACCAGCCCCAGGCAGCCCAGAGCAGCGGCCATGCGAGTCACGCCGCTGGGCACAGGGGCCAGACGCTCGTCCTGAGCAAAGGACAGTTCCTGTCCTCCCGGGCCAGCATCCTCACCACTCTGGGTTATTTGCTGAGTTATTTATGGGGCAACGGAGGCCAGCAAAGCATCTGTCTGGGCTGGGAGCCTAGCTACCCCTCGACCCAGCTGCTAAACCCTGCTGCCAGCTCTAATGTATTTACACTTTTCCTTCCCCAGAACTGCGTCCTGAGCGATGAAAATGAGATCTACCTGCGCCACTTCTTGCCGGCGCTGGGGAACTTCACGCAGGCGGTGTTCAGGCGCCGGGGCGGCGCGGCCGCTCCGTGACACGGCCCCTGGCTGCTGGCAGCGCTGAAGGGGCTCTGCGGGGAGGTTTGGTTTGGTTTGGTTTTGTTGTGTTTTGTTTCCTTCTGCTCCTCGTTTCGTGCACTCCCCCAGCCCTGCTCCAGCCCTCCCGGCTCCCCAGCTGCGCCTGGAGCGCCCGCTGCGCCGGGCTCTGGCATCTCCCACATTCTCCGTGCAAGTGCCGCGTGTTGGACTCGCTCAGCCTCAGCAGGAGAGGAGTCACTTGTACAGGGCTGCCCCAGCTGCTCCCGGCTCGTCCAGCCGGGAGGTGAGCGCCGCTGCCCGGGAGGAGGGATGCGGAGGGCAGAGCATCCTCTGCTGCTGCCGGGGAGCCTGAGCGCTTAACTCATTCATCTGCTCCTGCAGCACCTACCAAAACCAAAACCAGATTATCTGCTTCCTGTTCCCCTTAGTGACGGGACGTTTCTTCACAATCTTCTTCTCTTCCTAAAGAGATCAAAATCTAGTGCAAAATGGTGAATTTTTCACTGATGTGTTGTTTGCCGCGTGCAGCTGAGGGGGAGGCCGATTTCTGGGAGCAGAGCTGGGGAAGTGCAGCATCCGAGAGCAAAAGCTGGGAGGGGAAACGGGTCTGGGGCTGGACCTGTTGCTGCAATTTCAGTGTCTCTTCTATTGTAGGTGGCTTTTAAGTTATTTATACTGAAGGCAGGAGAGTCTGTAGGATAACTTTGAATCTAATGGGTGCTCACTGACATCATACTTTTGAAGTTTGTTTATTTATTGTTATATGTTATTTAAATAACTTATTTTTATAGTGTGTAACCTAAAGATTCAAGACCAAAAAGTCCTGGCTGTTGAAAGCTTTTCTTTGCTGGGGACCTAAAATAAAAATGAAAAGCCAGTATTCAAGGTGTGTTTTAAAATTACATGGTAGTTCTGTGGAATACAATCATATTTAAAATACTGCTACCTCATTTTAGGGAACGCCTACTGTCTGATTGCCTTTGCACAACAACAAATGAACATGTGCTGATTTGTAATTTATTGTTCTTTTATTTAAAATATTGGTATTGTGAGAGTTAATATATTCAAATTCCCGTATGTTTGAATGTCTTCATTTTATTATTTTGTTAATATCAACTATGCACTGATTTTATTGAAGTGTCCCTGGGCTTAAGCAATAAACAACTGAATTAAGAGCTCTTGGTGTCCATAGTTTTTGCTGTCAATTCCCTCTTACCTTCAGCAGTCAGTGAGGAGCACTGGGGGAGCTGCCTGGTGAGGAATGCTGGCATTTTTGGGGCAATGTACAGTAAATGTACCCACTCTGCCACCGAGAGCAAAGCCTTGAGAAAGGAAAAGGCACCAAAGAACCCACCTGGCTTGTGGCTTAGGAAATTGGTGAAAGGAAGGGCTGGAGCAGGAAGGAGGAGAGCCTTTGTTTGGGAAGAGGGCCTTGTGCATGGGGCCAAGGTGGAGGTGGGCTTTGGGGTGCAGGCTGTGGTCTGGGGGCTGAAGGAGGAGCCAGCAGGAGCCCAGGTGGAGCTGCAGGCAGGGCAAGGCTTGTCTGATGGGAAGGGAAGGGATGGGGCTGGCTCATGGACCAGAACCTGCTTGGCGCCAGCAGAACACATGTAGGAAACAAATCCACAAAGTAACTGCTGGAAATTGTTATACACGCTCCAAATGCATGCAACAGGGGCTCAGCTGCAGCCTCGGGATTTGCCCTGGATAAACACCAGCACCATCAGCACCAGGCATGGCAGCAGCAGAAATGCATGGGAACAGAGCATGGACGGTACCCTCGGGCACACGGTGTGACCCTTTGGGATGGTGCTGTACCGGGCAGCAGCTGGACTCCCTGACCCCTGTGGGTCCCTTCCAACCTGTTCTGTGATTCCGAGATTCCATGATCCCTGCTGCCACCAGCTGCCGGTCCCCACAGGCAGGATGTGAGCTGGGCAAACCCTCAAGGCCCTGTCCCAGTGGCTGTCCTGGAATCTCTGTGGTTGGACACAGAAGGGAGATCTGAGCTGGTGGCTGTGACCTCTGGCAGAGCCCAGGCTCAGCAGCCACAGGCAGATTGGTGCTGGAGAGGCAGGATCCTTGTGGGATGGGAGAGGCTCCACAGAGCCCAAGGAGTTCCAAGAGGAGAAAAACTGAGGACACATTTCTGAATCAAGCACTTTCTTTGGCAGGGACACAGGGCAGGCTCATCCCTGGGTGGTGGCTGGGATGAAGGCACAGCCGGGGCTCCAGAAACTGTGGGAACCCCACGGGGGCTGTAGCTGTCCCTTCAGAGGGCAACGGAGCCATCACTGCCATCAGCTCCATCCCACCCTTGGGAAAGGACGTAGGAATCTTTTAATTTGCTGTTGTGTTGGGTTATTGGCCCTGAAGGGATGTCAGGTCCCACCACAGCACCCCTGTCACCCTCAGCTGGGCATGGGGAGAGAACGTGATCAAAGGCTTGTGAGTCAGAGTAAGGACAAGGAGAAAACAACCAGCAATTACTGTCATAGGCAAAAGAGATTCAGCCTGGGGGAAAATTAATGCAGGTATTCAATTATTCAATTTATTGTCAATCAAATCAGAATAGGATAAGGAGAAATAAAAACTAAATCTTAAAACACCTTAGCCCACCCCTCCCCTCCTCCCAGGCTTAACTTTGCTCCTGATTTTCTCTCCTTTCTCTCCCAGCTCCAGCTGTGCAGGGATTTTCCCCGGGCACTGCCATTGGTGCCAGTGGGCTGGGCCTTGCCAGCAGCAGGTCCCTCTTGGGGAGCAACTGGAGCAACTGGAGTTGGCTCCATCAGGCACTGGGAAATCTTCCAGCAGCTTCTCACACAACCCAGCCCTGTAGCTCCCCACTATCAAAACCTTGCCATGCAAACCCAACACAACTGGTGACTTTCTCGTCACAGAGCAATGCAGTTTTCCACCATGATTGAGCCTGAGTAGAGCAAAGCTTAGCTTTTTCTGTGATTTGAGCATTTTCTCTTCACTGATTCCAGCTTTAGAGCCTTCCACCATGATCACTGGGGAATCCCTGTGTCTGCAGGATGGGGCTACTGCCTCCATCACCTTCTCCAGCATCACTTTTAGGCAGGGATCCTACTGCCACCACCACTCCTCCCAGACCAGTGGGACAGCTCTGTGTGTGCTGCTGAGCACCCACCATCCCTGGAGGCTGTGGATGCAGTCACACAGCCAGAGCATGCTCCCTTTTCTGCTCTCCACAGCACAGCACAGTTCTCCACTGGCAAATCCCTCACAAAGGCCTTTCTGTGCCAGTGACTTCACCTAACTTCATCCGGGGCATCTCGGAACCAGACTAACAAAATTACTCTCAATCTGGCTACTCCCAGATTCATCAAGTGCTCACAAGTTGTTATCTGGTGGCAAGTTGCTGTTTGAGTTAGAAAAATCCCTATTAGTTATTACAAAACTCCAAAGTTTCCCAGCTCAGCGTTTCTCAGTGCCGTTTCCTGTGGCAGCACCGGCTGGTGGGGCTGGCAGAGCCCATTTTCTGAAAACTCAGGCTGCTGCTCCCCAAGCAGGGCAGGATGGACAGGGCAGCTTCCAGCTCCCTGAGACTCTGGAACAGGGCCACAAAGCCCAGTTTCCCAGCAGTGACAGCAGGACCCCAATTCCCACACCATCTCCCTGCACACAGCCCTGCAGGATGCCACTCTGCTTTGGGGACCCTCTTTGGTCAGGAGGGTCCCCAGATCTCCACAAACCCCCCAGGCTGATGCCCTGCTCCTGCCCAGGTTTGTCCCCACACAGCTCTGCCGTTCTTTCTGTTCCTCCCCAGGTTAAGAAACCCAGGGACGGAAATCCTGGGTGTGCAGATGAAGGATGCTTTACGTGATCTGGAGATATTCAAATGAAACACGATAGAAGAGCTTGCAGGATACTCAAAGGAAAATAAAAAGAAAAGTGTTGCTATTGGAGTGTGTCAGAGCAGTGGGCTATCCAGTTTAACCACTTCCAATTCACCTTGTAGAGAAAGCTTTGAGATATGGAGAAATGGAGAATCCCCAAACCAGGCTTATATACTGTATGTGACCTGGCTCCTGCCACTCTCACCATACAGTGGAAATTTCATAATGCAAGATCAGAAGAAAATTTTGACTTGCACAAAAAAAGAGCAGTTGCTCTCCTAATCGGGAGCAACTTTGGAAAGTGCCTATAAGGGAAAAACAAGATTTTCCTTCTGGTTCAGCAATTTTACAGTAATAAATTGAGGTGCTTCCTCCAGAAAAGCGCACACAGTTACAGGTCACCAAACAATCCAGAGACTAAGAGCTGAAGGGGTCCAGCCCAAGCAGGCCATGAGTATCCTGGTCCAGGTCCTGCTCACCCTCCTGGCGCTGTCAGCCTGCCTGGGTGACGTGGTGCTTCCATGGTCACACACACTGCGGACCAAGATGCTGGAGGAGACCATGGAGCTGCTGGACTGGCTCCAGCAGAAGGAGGTAGGGCTGGTTGGTGCTTTACTCACTGATGGGAGGAACAGATTGTTTCACCAGGCTCGGAGGGAGCGATGCTGAGCCAGAGGAAGGTGATGAGCACAGGGTTCACAATGCTCCTGGGGCCTGGGGGCGGAGGGATGTGTGTCTGTGTGCGCACCTCAGGATGGATCTGTGCTGTCTGGAGCCTGATTGCTCCTCTCTCTTGTGTCTTCATAAAGGTTTCCTGTTACAAGATGAATGTGATAAATATTTTTGCAGATCATAAGGTAAGGAAAAAACCCAACCATATAGCCCTGATTGGTGGTGGGAGGAGAGCACAGGGAGGTGGGAGGCAGGTGGGAAGCCTGGGATCCTGCCCGTCCTGCTGTGGTGCTGTGGAGGAGCAGGAGCCCACTGTGAGCCCCCAGCACAAACACTGGGCTGCCCAGCTGCCCAGTGCCCTGCACAGGTGCCCTCACCTTCCCACAGCCATCTCCACCTCCAGCCAAAGCAGCATTGGTGGCTTCTGGCCACCCTGGGGACAGGGAGAGCCCAGAGGAAGGGCAGGGATGGGCACCTGTGCTTGGGCAGCAAACAGAGGTTTCAGCTTTTCAGAGAGAGGAACACCCCCCTTTGCCCTGGAGAGCTGGCACCAGCTCAGACACCCACACACACCTATTGCACAGCATCCTGAGAGCTGGGTATCCCTCTTTACCCCTTATCTGGGGAAGGCTCTGCAGTCAGCACAGATTTAATGGCAGATAATAAGGCCTCTTTCTGCTCTGAAAACTGCTGCCTAAGCCACGCTCCCCAGCCCCTGAGTTCCTGTTTTCACAGAAAGCCCATGCCCTCACCTCATGCCACGCCTGGTGGCACCCGAGGGGTACAGAGGCTTTCGCAGGGGGGCTGGGGCTCAGCCCCCCTCAGGGGACCCCCACACCCCTCCTGCCACAGGCAGCAGCCCTGCTAGTGAGAGGAGATGCCTGAGATGCTGCACAGCCCCACACTCACCGCTGCCCATGCTCACAGGGACGGACTGGGCACTTGTTTAAGACACCGTGAAAGCTGGGACAGAGCAGGCAGCACTGGGAGCATCCCCCGGGGAAGAAAGTCAAATCGTTATTTTATTGACACCAGCACTGCTCATCTTCCACGTGTCTCTGCTATAGGACTTCTCAAAGCCCCTAATGAAGGCAAACTCTTCTCAGGTGCTTTTGTTATTCCTGTAGCCTCCCTGTCTGCTCAAACCAGCTTCACTTGTAGGGAACTTGCAGGGAGCAGCTTCACAGGTTCCCACATCCACACCTGCAGCAGGAGCACGATGCTCCAGCACAGGGGTGCTCGCTGCTGTGCCTCACTGCCACAGCTTCTGCCAGGGGTTGTTTCCTCCTCACCAGTAAAGGGATGGGACCAGTGCCAGGTGTGCACAGATGGAGCTGGGAAGCTTCAGGGAGGCTTTGGCATCTCAAACCACAATTTTCACCTATCCTTTAGGATAGAAATTTATTATTTGTAGTGTTTTAATCTGCTGCTAATAAGCCATGACTACACAAAAGTTTTTAAAAGAGCCATGTGTCTTTTCCCAGAGAGGCAACAAGACAGAGATCTTATGCAAAGCTGCCACAATTGCTCGGGAGGGCGAGAGCTGCCACGGGTACTTCGGGGGCATTTACGACAACTTGCTCAGCCTGGCCTGGGGGAGCAGAGCAAGGCACAAGGTGAGGCACAGCTCTTGCACTGCCCACAGCCCTCAGGCTTCTCCCTTGGTCACCGTTTTTTTTTTTACACTCCCAACCCAAGCTGCAGAAGCCAATCTCACCCCAGCATGCTTTTTAACAGCCCCTGTTTCCCATTCCAGAAGCCATGTCCTGTGGCAGCAGGGAGCACCACCTCACTGAAGAATTTCCTCAAGGAATTACACCACGTCCTCCAAGAAGAGTATAAGAATCAGAAGTGAAAAAACACTTTGTTTTTTTAAACTATGACCCTATTTTTCAAAGATTATGTTTAATAATTCTTTAAATAAATGTATTTTTGGACTAGATGTGCTGGCATTGCATAGGACATTACACAAGGCAACAGTTATGAGAGTTCCAAGTTGATGGAACAACGGTAGTGTGGCTAGGAAGTGCCAAACAATTTGTCCTGCTATGGCATTAAGCTCATGCTAACATGAAGAACACAGGTCTGAACAGAAAGAAAAGCCCAAGAGAGGAGAAGCCAGGCCACAATGGGGCACGCTCCTGAAAGCTGGGAACTCAAAAGAACGCGCTGGAGCTGCAAAGGGAGCAGCAGGTCACTTCACTCACAGCCTCTTTGGTGTCTCTGCACATGGCACAGCCCTTTGTGGCCCAGGAGAGGCTGGGACTGTGCAGGGCTTGGTTCAGCACCAGCTGAGTCACAGGACGCTGGGGACCTGCAGACCATGGAAAACCTGGTCCCTGGGGCTGAGCTGGGGGGCCACAGGCACTGCCAAGCAGCACAGCTCATGCAGCAAACAGAGCTGAACACCCAACTGCTGCAGGTAAAGTCACACCATCTTCCACAAGGTCCTGCTGCCCGTGGCCCTGGGGCTGGGCAACAAGGCTTCAACACATCCCAAACATTTCCCCAGCATGCTGTGCAGCTCAGAGCTACAGAGGCACCTCACCCGCCCTTCCTCACCCAGTCCTGACACAACTGAGTTAAAAAGATATGCTATGTATAATGTTATATGGAGAACATGCACACAAGGTGGAATTAGGAATCAAGGTTTTTATTTCATGGTATGAACATGCTCCAGGGACACAATATTGATATATACAGTATAATGAATTAACTTTAACAAAACAAGATATAGTCAGAAATAAACAGAGTTAAAAAAACCAAACAGAATGACAAATTATACAGACAAGCAGTTTTTCCCTCTATGCAGGCCTGGCTAAGCAGAACTGTGGAGAAAGGTGAAAGCTGGACATGTGCACACATTGTAGTCAGTAGAAGGCACTAAGGACCACTTCCCTTCCTCTTAAAGGATTAGGAACAAGTTAAATATTAAATAATTCATTTATACAACATTAAGCAAAAATCTCATTGTTAAGGTCAATGTTCTAAAATGAGGAGAATCTTCTGTTAGCAAATGCAAAGATGAGCACACACAGTGTATGTCATGTAAGATGAGTTTTGGTAACTACCACAGAGCACATACTGACCCACAACAAGAAAGGCTGTATTAAGCTCTTAAAAGTCCATATAAATCAAATCTTGTGTTTTAATAAGGACATTATGGGCCCATTAAACATTCACAGATAGGCAGGGCTATAGAGAGGGCCCATGTGGTAAATCCACAAGCCAAATTCCCTGGTTTTACAAGAAACTTCCCAGAACTTCAACAAAATACATCACTTAACAGGTGAGCTCAGCTGACAGGGCACATGACCAGGAGAGTGTTTCACTTTATTTAAAATCCTCTTACAGAGCAAATAATTTGTCCTCCAAGCCTCTGTAACAGGAGATAACCAGTTTTTCCAATTTGCCAATTAAATGTGTGCAAGTAATTACTTACTATTTACCCCTGCTCCAAGGCTCACTTAAACATGCAGAGTACTAAAGTTTTCAGCTGCAGGACTGTTATGTTAATTGTAAATCACATGCCTTTACATTTGAAGCATTTTAAATATTTCAGTATTTTAAATGGAGTACCCTGGTTCACAGCAGTATCTTGGAGTGAGTGACTGATACCTGTCAGGTAAAAGGACTTTCAATGGTCTTTCTGAAAGCACAGTTCTGGTTTAACTCCTGCAAAACCAGATCATTCAATAAATGTTAGCACACAAAAAGGGAAGAGAAGTTATCTCTGGTTCTGAGAACTAGTACAGGCCACAGCTATGCATCTATCTGCTTGGACTCAGAACTGGAAGACTTTAAGCAGCATTTAAGCCATTTTCAGTCTGGATATTTTGATGAGAAGTATGTATGTGATAAGAGATAATCCAACTCTATTCAAGCACATTTAAGATAAGGTCAGCTCTTCACAAGCAAAACCAACTACAGCTTCAATCAAGAAAGTTTGAGTATTTACCCCTAAATGCTAGGCTGAGTAAAACAAATGCCAGTGTTTGTATCTGTATGTTGTATGAATTCAGGTGACACTCCCCCCAGTAGAGAGGGCAGCGTGTTCTTCCAGGTCATGATCCTGAAAAAAAGCCATTAAAAACACCAGGAAAAAGCTTACAGCTTGTTTAGAACAGCACTGAATATATCCTTCCGAGCAAAATATGTCCTTACAAGACCAGTTTTAACTATTACAGATCCTGTCACAGACCCCAAGGTCCCTCCAGATAACCATAATGACAGAAAGAAAGGGAATTTATGTCTTTAAGTAATTCACAGGAACATTCTGGTAAAAGCAGATATGGCTACTAGCAAGGACTCAAGACACCTGAGGAGCTGTCTTGTTTTCTGTCACACTGAAGGACTCCACCTCCCCTGTGAGTAATCACAGCTTTTAATCCTCCAGCAAACTCTAAGATGAGGTTACAGCTCATCCCTCCACCCTGCACAGGAGCTGCTGGGACACCCACAGCTGATGTGATGAGTTACAGAACACACACAGTCCGAAGGAGATGCATTTTCTCTGTGACACAAAAGTAACATATTAAAGTGATATGTGTCTATTAGCAGCATAAATATCAAATAAAAAGAGCAGCCATCACAAATAAATGGTTATTATCAGAGACCAAAAGTTTCTTCCTTTTAGAGCATAGCCAGAGATGCACACAGTATACACAGGAACACAGCATCAGCTATGTCACGGGATATTGTTCTGGGAAAATGGGACAATTCCTTCTGTTTTACTAAAGGAGAGTCAAATTTATCCTCAGTGTAGAGCAGTGGCCCAGTGCCTTGTAGCCAGGGATGAGGAAATAGAGCCACAGTGCTCACAGCCCCATGGCTGACACCAAGTCCTGGTGTTACAGCATCCTCCTTAAAGCATCTCGGCTGTTCGGATTACAGAACTACTCACACAAAAATACCAGCCCTGAAGCATAAAAAGCTGCCAAAGTAACACAATCTTAAAAGAAGGAAAAAAGCTCTCTTCTGCCTTATTTTCCAAGGTCTCATTCTCCACAGTGCCAGCAGATCACAAACAAACTGATAAAAATAAAACTATTAGACACCCATGGTCCCTTTTCAGAAATCTCAAGACTTTTGTGGTTCATGTTTTCCTACCCAGCTACTTTCTCTGTACAGCAAGACAGCAAAAAGGGAAAAGGACTGCGTATTCAACACATAACACAGTGTGTTAACAGCCACAGTGAGGAATATTAAATAAAAAGATTTGATGCTCTTAAAGGTTTGCAGCAACTACATTCAAACACAGATCAGTGCAACAGAGGACAACAGTGAAAGCTGCCAGTTATGTGCAAAGCAGGGCATAAGTCAGATTTACCAGCCTTAATTTCAGGATTTCATTAACTGTTTTGAACTAACACATCTAGCACTTAAACACATATCTAGAACCCTATTTTCCATACATTTCAACAAGGATTACCAACAAGTTTCCCTGCACAACACATTTAATACATGGAATTTCACAACCATCAATCATACATACTGGTTTAATATTATGTTAATATAACATACAATATACAGGCAACTAAGGAAAAATACATTTTTTAAAATAAAAAAATTATAGCCATGTCAAACTGTGCCATCTCTTGAATTCCATATTCTGGCCAAACCTTATACACTCACTGATTTTTACAGGAATTCTGACCAGGTGACACTACTGCAGCAGGGAATCAATGACAGCTCCTGGCTTGGCCGAACGTTTTCTGTTTGGAGAGCAGAAAGGAAAGGGAAAAACAACACCACACAGACATCATTATGCTGTCTAGAAAAGACAGGGACCAGCCACATTTAAGTCAAAACTACATGACAGGACTTCTCCATAAGCAAAACCAACCAAACAAAAAGCACAAGAAAGCATATGCTGAAATCTCCCCCAACAGCCCTCTCCTCTCCACTGGTACCAGTGTTTGCACTACCAATGTGCCAGATTGGGTTAAACTGCACCACCAAATGCAGCAAAATAAAGCAAGGAGCTGGAAGAGGAGAATGCAGCAAAAGAACACCAGAAAATCCCTAGACAAGTCTTTCTGAACAAGATCTAGTGCAGTAAAGAGACTTGGTTCTGTCACACCTGGCAACACTGAACTATACCATGCAAAAATTTTGTCCTTTGTCTTCTCATTAAGCAAATGTTTGAAGACTTGTAGTAAGTTTGCATATACAAACTTCAGCCTTCCCTTGGGTAAATCCCTCATTGCACATAAATACCCCAGAGTTCTTCACCTTCTACCCGTCTTGGGCCTGGATCTTCCTTTTGAAGTCCTCGGCCTCTCCAGCTTCATCAGAGATTGCCTCAAACTTTCTTCAGTGTAGGCTAAGTAAACATGGGAAAGGTCCACTTCAAAGGGCTAGAAAAACACCAGAAAGTCTCATAAGACAAAGTCATGAGAATAATTTTATACACTCATCAATGGTGCTTTCATGATACTCAAAGACTCGTATCTTCAAAAGAAAAGAAAATTGAGATTGGACAGTTTGGCACTAAATACAGAGTGGCAATCTAAGGCAGGACTTGGGCCTGTACAGTTCAATACATCAATTCAACAGTCACTCACATCTTTCTCTTTTTTATCCAGGACAGGCGTCTGTTTCCTCATATTGTTTCCAGTATATGCAACACATTTCTATAAGCAGAAAAAAAAGTTTGTTAGTAAAGTCTACTGCGCATAGCAAACTGACTACAGCTTCACCAGTTTCTTCCTGGGCTCAATTAAGCCCCTCAGAAGCTCATACTAACATTAGCTTGTACACAAGCCAGGCAGCCATTCTTACCAGCTGCCACTCTCCTATGTCTTCGTTCCAGTGAACGTAGTTCTCAATCATTTCCTACAAAGGAGTCAGGAC